TACCGCTCACCCTGTACACTCACTAGGCTATCTCAGTGCGCAAAACAGTCAGGTTCAATGAGTCATTTCATATGAATATGAACTGCCATCTGCCTCATCGTTCACTGCCTCGTGAGAGTCTGAATGATTGAGAGGTAAACGAGTCACTAACAGCCGAGCACCCAGTCAGTAGCTCAATCAGCACGTTTATTCTTCCGTGATGATACCCAATACACTGAAACCTCCGTTTACGAAGTCTTTTTTTACGCAGTATTCAATTTACGTCCCTCTTTTTACGAAGTAAATCCCAAATAACGAGGTTTTTTTTTTACGAAGTAAATTCCAAATAACGAGTTTTCTTTTTACGAATTAAATTCCAAATAACGAGTTTTTTTTTGCGATTATTCGGAATCTGGGAAAAACTATGAAATATCCCACAATATGGGTATCTTTGGAACCGGAGTGAGATGTAGGAACCGGAAACTCATGTCTGACGCCATTTTGAAATCCAAGATGGCGGCATCTGGTTCATGAAAAACTGGAAGATACTTTCAATACCCCACAATTTGGGTATTTTTGGAATCAGGGTGACGTGTAGGAACTGGAAATCTATGTTTGACGTCATCTTGAAATCCAAGATGGCGGCTTCCGTTTACAGAAAAACTTGGACATTCTGCCATATACAACACAAAATGGGTATTTTTGGAATCGGAGTGATGTGAAGGGACCGGAAATCGATGTCTGACCCCATTTTGAAATCCAAGATGGTGACTTCTGGTTACAGAAAAACTTGGAAATTCTGCCAAATACCCCACAATTTGGGTATTTTTGAAATCGGAGTGACGTTTAGGGACCGGAAATTGATGTCTGACGCCATTTTGAAATCCAAGATGGTGCCTTCCGGTTAAAGAAAAACTTGAAAATTCTGTCATATACCCACAATATGTGTATTTTTGGAATTGGAGTGACGTGTAAGAACCGGACATGAGTTTCCGGTCCCTACACGTCACTCCGATTCCAAAAATACCCATATTGTGGGGTATCTGGCAGAATTTCAAGTTTTTCTGTAACCGGAAGTCGCCATCTTAGATTTCGAAATGGCGTTAGACATCTATATCCGGTCCCTACACGTCACTCCGATTCCAAAAATACACATATTGTGGGGTATATGACAGAATTTCCAAGTTTTTCTGTAACCGGAAGCCACCATCTTGGATTTTAAAATGGCGTCAGACATCGTTTTCTGGTCCTTACACGTCACCCTGATTCCAAAAATACCCATATTGTGGGGTATTTGACAATATTTTCAAAAACCTCTTTTTACGAAGTAAATCTCAAATAACGAGTTTTCTTTTACAAAGTAAATCCCAAATAACGAGGTTTTTTTTACGCACTAATTCGATTTACGAACCCCCGTTTTGGTTCGTAAATGGAGGTTCCAGTGTACTTGTTTTGAATGACTGAGCGTACATTTCATATGGAGAAATGCCTCAATTACATGCGGTGTGAGCGAAGGCAAGCAGTGTGAGTCGCCTGTTCGTGAGTGACTGAATGTTGTTGTTGGCTCTTTCATTGGCTCGTCCTTTAAGCTAGGCTTAGACAGGGCAAGTCAATTGATCAAGTCAGTTGAATTCAACACAAATTGAAGGTGTAAACCATGCAATTCAACTGACTTGATCAACTCACTTGAATTGAAAAAAGTTGAACCAGGCTCAACTTTTCAAGCAAATTGAATTCAACTGAGTTGATCATTTGACTTGCCTAGTCTAAACCCAGCTTTAGCGTTTGTTACAAACGGTCTGCACAGAGCAAAGGATTGAATAGTGCAGTGCCTTCACACTCAGCCTAAGCAGTCAATAATTTTATGCTCTGGGCTATCTGAGGGCTCCGATCGTATTCATGGGATCAGCCAATATAATGCGAAAACAAAACGTATGTTAAAAATAAATTAATTTAATTTTCGTGCGTGGAGCATAAATCGATTTCAAAATGTATTTGAACTGATCGACTGCTCTCACACTCCGTGATCGCAGCATCTTATCTTTTCAATAACAATTCATTCGCGAGGACCCATATCCGCCCGAAGTTGATCCCTTAAGCTGGGTTTAGGCAAATTAATTGGTCAACTCATTTTATTATTATTAAACTGGGCTCAGACAAGACTATAGTCAATTGATCAACTCAGTTGAATTCAACTGACTTGAACGTGAAGTGATCATTAATGCTGGATTTAGACTCGGCAAGTCAAATGATCAACTCAGTTGATTTCAATTTGCTTGACAAGTTGAGCCTGGTTCTACTTTTTTCAATTCAAGTGAGTTGATCAAGTCCGTTGAATGACATGGTTTACACGTTCAATTCGCGTTCAAGTCAGTTTAATTCAACTGATTTGATCAATTGACTTGCCCTATCTAAACCCAGCTTAAGCCATGTCATTCAACTGACTTGATCAACTCACTTTGAATTGATAAAAGTTCAACCAGTCTCATCTTTTCAAGCCAATTGAATTCAACTGAACTTGATCAATTGGCTTGTTTTGACCAAACCCAGCCTTATGCCGGGTGTAGATGGATCAACACCCGATGTCGGACTTGGTCTATTTAATAGTATAATCAGCTCAATTTAACGCCGACCACAAGATTGGAGAGACTGGAAACCAAGTCACTTGCTTTATCTAAACCCAGCTTTGAGCAAATCACCTTTCACAAAACACGATATAATCAAACGTACAAATGACATGACTCTCTTCCCCAGGATAACTATCTTCATTTTCAAAGCGCCTGTGGGAGAGAAACTAATTGGCATAGCTAAAAGGTTAGTAACTTCATACACTTAGCACTTTTAATTTCAATTCACAATTTCATTGAAAACTATACATTCCATTCTTCGTGTATTCATTTTGAGGTATTTTTGATTCCTAGTGTGTGACCGACAGTTTCAGCATCACTCACATTGTAATTTTAAACCTCATATTAATTAAAACTAAAAGTGCCTGCTCGTGTTACAACAAAATGAGCTGAGATTTTAAGAGAGTGTCATAAATAACTCTAGGGATTGTCACTTTTCCTAAGTATCTACAATTTCGGACACTTTTGAAAGTTAATTGTTAAGGAAAACTATTAATTATTATGATTACAATGCCACGTAAATTGTATAACGAGTATAGTAGCTTCCATGTTTGGCTAACAGAATTAGTAGGGGAAATGGTTCTAATGTTGGCCTAAATATGGATCTAAGATTGGGCCCATCACTGAAAGTCTGCTATTTATCAATTTTATCTAGATGAACGGTACTAATGGATATTTTTGGTCGTTATTGAAAATTTAGTCGATTGCTGAATTTATGTATGGGCAAAAATTAGGGACACTTAGGCCGACATTACATCGATTTCCCCTATGTTGCAAAATGGAAGTATACTTAAATTTACAAAACAATGTTCACATGTCAAAGCCATCCGGTATAAGGTCCACTACTGTACAAGGGCACAATAAGAGTAGCGATTAGAATTAGCTATCGATAACGGTTGGGTGTGAAAAGGTGTTTTAGTAACTAGCAAATTTTATAACTACATCGTTTCACTAAAGCATTGCAGAATGGATTAGAATGTGAATTTAGCAGGAAAGATGCATTTAGAGCCTGCAATCAAATTATTAAAAAAGATGATTGTAAAAGTTGTTCCTAACATGAAGAGCATTGAGTGTGTTGGTTTATTTCCTTTTAATTCCGTTATAATTGCTTATCTTTTGACAGATACGCGTATTTCGTCTACTACTTGCAGACTTCATCAGTGCCAAGTACTCAACACCACTTACTTGGCACTGATGAAGTCTGTAAGTAGTAGATGCAATACGCGTATCTGTCAAAATATAAGCAATTATAACGGAAATTAAAAGAAATAAACCAACACACTCAAAGCTCTTCATAAAGGGATTCCGTTAAGAGGTTCGACAAATTTAAAAGATTGTTCCTAACAGTTAAGCCTTCATTTTGGAGTCAATTAATACAAGAGTGGATCGTATTATCATTGAAATAAAAATGCTCTTCTATTTGTAAAAATAATAGTGTAATTCTTTAGCAAAGTTGTATCTCAGTTCATTTCAAGCAATATTTTGTTATTTTTTGTAGTATTTGTTGATAATTTGTTCTATTTTTATAAATAAAATTTCTTAGCGATATGGTATTTCTTATCTGAGGATAACTTTTAGAACATTTAAAAACGCAATTTTTCCGTGCATAACATGATCGACCTTTTGCCGATCAATAGTTCTTCACGTTGAACATCAAATATAAGGGTGGATTTCTAACATCCTGTGCATTTTTCTTACAACAAATGTAATGGTAGTTCTTACAATGGACTTTAACGTACAAATATGCTTTTCCAGAATATTTAGTTTCGTATAAAACCTTCTCCAGATGATTTTCTAGTCTCATTGCATAGACATAAAAACAAACTTAGCTCTAACATTTACTGAACAAAATAAATTAAAAAAAAACCTTCCGACATCCACATTACAGGATCTGTTCATGCGGTGAATCATTGAAAATACCGTAGATTTTGAGTACAAATATGAAATTTTATTTAACGTTTCCCGACTGGGCGATACTTACTTTTTACAGTTTGGAAATTCTATTCAACCACAAACTGTCCCTCTGTACACTGTGTTTCAGAAGAAAGTCACTCGACAACTGCAATGGTTTCTAGCTATTGAACCCTGTTGTAGAATATCTCTAGTACTTAGAATTCCAGCGAAAAGGTTGTTCCATTAAAATTCCTCCCTACGTGAATCATCCTAAGGCGGTATCATCATTAGCTACAGAGGATAATCACATTCTTCATCATATCATCTTCCGCCTCCACCCAATCAGGTTAGATGCGAACCGTATTCATCTAACACGGCTTAAAGCAATCGATCAGCTACAAATCTGTATTAATCAACCATGTATATTTTCAGGCGACTTACACAGTCACAGAACAGGTTCAAGCTAGAAGGGTAGTTTGTGATGTTCGAATAAATAAGAGCTTTGGTATACGGGTTTCAAACTGTTATAATTCAACACAGAGCGTCATTCAGTAGAAATCAAAAGCTTTCATCAATGTTGCCTACTGCTTCGGCTGACTAGCCAAGTATGCCAGAAGCTTTTCGACCGCTGGTGGCGTTTTGGGAATGTGATCGCCTTGCGGTACGAACCCATTACTATCGGCTACGTAATCTACCCGGTAAACCTGCCCGTCATCGCCAACGTACTGATAGAATCCCTGAGAACGTAGTCCCTCTCCTCCCTCGGCGGTTGTTTCAATCTTTCCCGATTCTTCTGCGTTGATACCGTTTTGCGTTTCGAATCTGCAACATTCAGTAAGTGGTGAGTAAGTTTCCAAAGAATACTAAAAACTAATTTAAGCTTACACATAATTGTATCCATCGCCACGCATGTGATTATCTAAATAGATGATCTTCCATCCATCGCCAGATGGGCCCGATGCAACTCGAACCTCGGGTCGCCTTGCACTCACGGGTGCTGCGGCAGTAGGAACAAAGACTGGAGCCGGTGCAGGAGTGGGAGCTGCGGTTGCCTCATTTCCATCACCAGCACCGTTGTCACCTCCAGTCGATCCAGCTCCTCTATATGCAGCACCGCCACTTCCAAATCCTCCTTGATTTCCGGCTCCTGGTCCAGAAGGGCCTCCAATGTGACTGTACTTACCACGATCTCCATCTCCCAAATGTTGGTATCTCACGTCAACGTGCACGTATTTTCCATCATTTCCGCCAGAATATCGGCCGTCATTCTTGGGACGATACCGACCATCGCTACCTCCAGTGTATCGGCCTTCGTTTCTGCTTTGGTATCTATTGTATGGGTCAATCGGGCGATAAGTCCTATACGTGGGGCGCCTTGTAGTCGTAATCACAGTGGGTGGTCTATACCGACCATCATTTTGGCCACTAACCAGGAAGACGGCATTCACCAACACAACAAGTGCCTTCAAATCAATCGAATTCATATCACTGGATATTTAACATTCTTTGAATAAACTCACCAAAACCAGCTTCATCCTAAGTGAACACTAAGCACCGATCAACGTTAGGTACACCAATTAACCTCACCTCTAATCACTAGTTGAACCGATAGTAATTTCCAAGTAGAATTGTGATTTCCTCTTATATACCCTCGATCCCGATAGGCTGCCCCTTTAAACGAACGGGACTAGTAGCTCCCACCCCATTCGCCGGGAAACGCCTTGCTCACAATGCAAGGGATACACTTTTACGTTGACAAATCAATTCAAACAATTTGTCACCATGGGGCTCCACGGGTATGCTAATTCAATTGAAGAAAATATTATTTGAATGGGCCATTTATTGCGAATGGTTTAGTGCTAGAAGACGAGCTACGTCATAGTTACCTGCTGCGAACCAGACGAACCCGAGTGAATGCTGATGGCATGTAGTATTAGGTCAATCGGATGTTTCGACAAATTCTAGAAAAAGTTAAAATTCATATGTTTTATATATTCTGTATAAGGTACACCGGGTCATGTGGGACCGAAACATTTGATAGCTAACATTTTGTGATGGTGTTATCCATAATAATAATTTTTAAAAATTTTAAATTTTGTAAGCATGGTTATTATGTGTTTGTATCTCTGCATCCCTCACTTTCCTCGTTCACTGAGGCAAGTGGGTCCCACTTTTTGGATTTTGAATATAGTTATCGAAAAATAGTAATTGACTTATTTTACCGTATGCGTGATAATGTTTGCACCATCGTACAAATAAGGTTCCCGTTTCACCTGTGTATACAAATCCTTGGTTTTCTTTGCATGCACGTAACCTACACGCTTAGTTCAGTTCACCCATAAATAGGTAGTTGATTCACTTATATTTGGATTTCTGATACAATACCTATAATATGATACTGATAAAAATCAGTAGAATTCACTCACATTATGAGTAAATTAACTTTACCTAAATATGGATAATTGCACTTTACTCATATTTGGGTGAAAAAACAAGCACTGTCAAAACCGCGTCGCTTCCCATCCCGCTGCTGTTATCTTCAAATCTGCAAAACTGTAATCTAGCTCAGAATCACGTTATTGGTAAGTATTTTGGAAGATACTTTCCCTTTGTTTTCACTGCGGAAAAAAATGTCTCCATCCGACGAAGATATATACGAACAGGAGGAATAAGATGAGGATGAGGACATTGAACTGAGGAACCTTCTCGGCCAGCAAAAGTCAGAGCGAAAATGATGAAATTCTGAATGATGCCACTACCCTTGCCGAAAGTATTCAACCGAAAGGCAATATCCTCACAATGACTAGCGTTGTGACGCAAATTCTATTCCTGCTAAAGCTGGAAGGAAGATTGTGGGGCGAAGTCGAGGGTACGGATAAAACTCAAATGATTACCAACCACAGCCGGAAGCTACGACTCGAACGATGCAAGAAAATCTTGAACTTCCTTAAGCGAAAAAATCCGGTAATCCTGTTCACCGACGAGAGCATGTTTACCGTCGATCCCGTATCAAATTCCAGAACCACCGGTATATTAGTTCTCTTCCGGTAAAAGACGTGGCCGACGAGCAGGCCGCCATCCAGCCCCGATCTTAATCCTCTAGATTACTCAATATGGCGCGTCATGAAGGCGAATGAGTACGACCCAAATTTGAGTTTAGTTATCTCAGAAATAAGAAATAAAGTGCAGGAACTCAGCGATGAGTAATTTTGCCTTATGTTTTCCCAGGTTTTTCCAGGATTTTCCAGGGAAAAATTCCCGAATTTGAGAAATGTAAAGATTGGATTCACTCAGTCTATTGGTACTACTCCGAGACTGAATAAAATTAACGTCAATTTCCTCATTTTCTGGCATATTTTTTAGGTTTTCCACAGGAAACCATGAGACAAATTTACTCATCGCTGAGTTCCTGCACTTTTGGCGATTATTAGTGAACTAAACTCAAATTTGGGTCGTTCTCATTCGCCGTGTACGCAAAAAGAAAAGAGCCAGTGTCGCTATTTGATAGCAAACTACTCATAATGGGAGGAGTCTTTGTAGCTTTTATACCACTTGGTTGCACATCATTCTGCTTTAACCAGAAAAGATATAAAAGAGCGCTGCTGTATGGCATTAGCACAATAAACAGCAATAGCAGCAGTAGGAAGGTGGTGGCTAGTCCACTCCTTCACACCTAACAAGCAACAATTGACTGGTCGTGGCAAAGGAGGAAAAGGTCTGGTAAAGGAGGCGCCAAGCGTCATCGCAAAGTTCTTCGATATAACCGCCATCGGTCCTCTGGCTCGCCGTGATAGTGTCAAACGTATCTCCGGTCTGATCTACGAGGTGTGCTGAAGGTGTTCCTGGAAAATGAGGTCCGTGATGCTGTCACCTACACTAAACACGCCAAGCGTAAGTGGCCATGTCCTCACCAATAAAATGGCCCTTTTCAGGGCCATCAAGCTTACATCAGTAAAGAGTTGGAATAGAATTTATCTGTGCTTGTTTGTCCATATTCAGAACCACAAGCCCCCAACGACCACACAAAATGCTCTCCAGAGTTGTAATCTTGTAACCAAAACTTGGAAGCAAGGGTGCAAGTGATTTTGATTGATTCTCTTAATCAACTTTCTCTTTGAAAGAGATTACTACGAATTTGGTACGCCTGCAATTCAAAAACGGAAAGAGTTGAGATAATAGATAATTGATCAATTAAAGAACTAAATGCTCTTCACATTTATTCCGTCCACTAGCGGTCCTACGTCAAGCTTCCGTTTGTGCCCCTAGGCACAGACCCTTCTACTTTTTTTTAACGATAATCCATGCTCCTCATGTTCCTCGATGAAATTGGAGATAAATTAAACGTTTCCACAAAGCCATTAAACTTCTCAATATTGTATGAACGTTGCAGATCATCTGCTGATAGGACTGACTCCAATTATGGAACCGAAGGTACCGTATCGGAAGGAAAAAAAATAACAATAAGTGCAATTAGGTTGCAGTTAAAAGTTGATAATCATCATGATGACTGTTCTTACCTAGCTCATCTACGGATTGCTAGCCACACGTTGATGGACCTGGATTATCACAACGCTGCTGCCCACTAGTTGACGGTTGGATATTTACTTTATTTTCAACCGATCAGCGTTTTTTCATAGCTACTATTATGAGATATCACGCTACGGCATGACTCACAAATACTCATCGTTTCATCAATTTTGTGGTTATATCCCATAGAATGTATTTTTTCTACCATCGTTTACGATATGGCCCATAACTTATTTCGGTTGCACCTCGGATTATTTATACTTGCACAACATTTCAATCCTTTGAACCTTAATTTACTCCTTTGATCCATGATAATAATTCCAAAACTTGTCTTCACAACTTTCGTTATCAGATTAACTGCTGCTTGTATGAAATCAACCTTAGTCTTATAGTGCTCATAGGTAGAATGAAATGGTAGGTATAAAATGTTAATGTAAATGTTAACAGAAGGGCATATAGAATTATGATACGATACGTTGACTTCCCAAATCGTTGTTGATACGAAAGAAGATCTCAATTTAAATTTTATTTATACCTTATTATATATGGATAATTTTAGCTAAGAATGCTAAGTTGCTATATAAGCATCGGATTTTCCCTCAGTAGTAGACAATATAATCAATTATAATATTTTATAATGATATAAGCCCTTTTCATATGAAATTCTCGATTAATCCAAGTGATTAGTTGCTGATTAGACAAAAATGAATCACAAATTGAGCTTCATTGGATTCTGAGATGATTTTGAGCTTCACTGGTTTAGTTTTGCGTGAAAATGGTACGTTGAAAGAAAAATAAGTTCAGTCATGAAAAAGTTTCTGTAAGATAAACTTTTTTCCTTAAAAGTGCCCATCTCACGATGTATGGCAGATGGTAGTAAACATAATTACCTATAATGCGGCAAAGTTTCATCCAAATCAAACATGGCCATTTTATCAATTGACTTTAAATTTTAAAAATCTATTTTTTTCAGTGTAGGCTTCAAATGGAATTTTTTTTAGCAGTTTTTTTTTTTCGAAAACTTTAAATTTTCTAAAAGTCATCCATACAATACATTTTTGTAGGAGTTGTCATTTTTCCATAATATTTTTTTTAAATCGGCAGAAAAAGTTTGGCCTTTCTCAAATGTTAGTCTAGATAAATTTTGGAAAAACTGAGTATACAAAAGTGTTTATTTAGTCAAAGTCTACACGTCCAGAAAATTTCATTTAAATCTGAGAGGGTGTTGTCAGCTCCGAATTCGATTTGGCGCGAAATACGTCGATACAACTGCTGACTCGTATCCTGATCTATTGTTTAACCCTTAAACTCCCGCGCAGATAAGGGGCTATTCATTAACTACGTAGACAGTTTTTTTGGATTTTTGACCCTCCCCTCCCCCTGCGTAGACAATTGCCCACACAAAAAATAATTTTGTATGGGCCATGGATAATTATATCAATAGATTTACAAAATTCAACAAATTCCAGCATACTGACGAACTCCTGAAAACAAATATAGAAATTTCAAAACCGTGTAAGACATGGAGTATATGGGCGAACCACTTGACATGTTCGGATTTGTCACCTCCAGCACTTCGGGAATCACTGAAATGGTTCTTAGGCGAGCATAAATATTTCGCATCCGCATCCCCATTCGCTGCGTTCTAGCTCTTCCAGCAGCTAATGTGCGTGTGCGTTTGTATTCATTTTATTGACTAATTTTCACAGCGACTTTCCTTCTGTCAGTGACGTATATCTGTGTGGCAAAATGTGGTTGAGTAGATTTGCATACTAATTTTCCGGTTGGTAGCACCATCCAGTCGCCACCGCCTCCAATCAGGACCATAAACTAAGATGATGTATTTTCGGTGGCATGGCGTCAACTTGTTTTCGCACCAGCCACAAAATACTATTTCTGCTGCTGCCTGGCGAGCGACACAAAGTTGAGCGCAGTTGTGAAGTATTAGCTCTGTGACAAACTCTATTGTTGAGGATGACAGTTGAGGAAGTTTTTTTTTTCGTTAGAACAAAGGCAATAGGAATTTAAAATCTCAAAATCTGTCTTCAAGATCTCAGACAGCTTAGCACGTGTTCGGCGCGCATTCGTTTGATGCTGCTTCAATAGAATATTGATGGGGTGGATCACAAGGTTACCTATACACATAAGACGTCATATTATCGATGCTGAACTGAGCCAATCGAGCACACACGAGGAGATGGTCACGTAAGGTGCGATGAATCGAATAAAATAGGGACTGCATTTCAAGATTTCCATAAGAAGGAAAAGTACCTCCTCGGTACCTAGGTACTGTTTTTAAATAAAAAAAAAGTGTTCAAACTACTATATACAAACGTTCAATAAGTAACACCATTCATGAAGAATTTGGAATTGGAACAAGACATCTATTCAAATTGACCATGGATGATTGATTGAATATTCATATTCACACAACTTTTGCTGACACCGCAGCGTAGTTCAAGTGCCCTCTCAACTTACACCACGAATAGAGACAGATCTCACCCAACAGCATTACAACCGTTAACCCTTCGGTACGATTCCCCCGAGGCAACTCCCACGGTTTTGCATAAAACAGTTACGCAACCTCTGGCGTCTTTAGCTTGGCTCGCGTCATCTCCAACGTTGATCGCTGAAGACGAAACACGCAACAAAACAAAGAGTCGCAAGATCCAAAACCGGTCCAGCTGGCTCAATGTCAAGTTCACAGCCACAGCATCGGTTGTGGATGGATCTTCTACGCTGCAGTCACGCGTCGAAAAGTGTGATTCGGTGCGAATGAAAGCAAAAGTGCACAGTTGAGTGGAAAATGCCTTAGTTATGAACATGAAAGGAGCTCAATTTCGTCAAAGTGAATTTACTTAGAAATTAGTTGAATTTTCCGAGTATTTCCTAGAACAACTTCTTGAATATGAGAAAAAAATCCATGACAATTTCACTCAGTATAGGAGTATACTAATAGTAAAACCACTATCGAGAAGTTTTAAGGAAGTCCATTTTTGAGTTGGTCTGATCGACCGTGCAGACATCGGAAGGTGCCCCACTTCCGACTGTTGCACTCTCGCTTGGTTCATACGAAAGTAAAAGTGCTTTATCATCTCTCGAAGTCAGAGCATAAAGTTACAGTTGAACGGGAAACTAAGACATGAGCTCGTTTATGCATGCTTTATTGAGTAGCTTATCGACTAGGTGTTTTGAACACAGATTTGGTTAGACTAGTTACACTATCAAAATGGAGCATCTATTTCTTCTGGGACTTTGCGGCCAACAGCCGAAGAGCCCTCTCGATCAACTCCGGAATCGGTGGTGGAGTTGGGAGATGGTCACCCTGTGGCTGGAATCCGTTCTCGTCAGCAACATACTGCACGGCAAACTTGTTTCCCTCAAGATCGGTGTAGGCGAAGCGTCCTTGAGCGACCTGCGGAAATTGAAACTGCGTCGAAATTTCAAAACATAATTAACGCTAATCACTGCATTACCACTGCCTGGTCCTCGCCGATAGTCTTCGGTGCACCCTGTTCTTCGTGAAGAATCCCGTTGGAAGTTTCGTAAGCGTACTGGTAGGATCCATCCACGTTCACTTCTGCATCATGTCGTAGCACGGTGGCGTCCTTATCGGCAAGCACGGCGCAAGCCAAACCCACAATCAGCACACAGATGATCTGCAACAATAAGGTCTCAATTAATTAATCATCCTTAACAAAACACTGACACAAAAACTCACTTGCTTCATCTTTCCCAAAACAAACAATCCAATTCTTCTCAACAGCACTCGGATTTGCACGGATACACTTTTCGGATCGTGGAGTCCAGCCTATCTAATCGATGCTTTCCCAAGAACAGACTATTTATATCGAACGTTTCGGGCTTGTGTCACACTGACAAAGGTTAAACCGGATAGATGAAAAATGGCTTGAAAACAGCGGCAAGAAACCAAATCTTCTTCTATTTGGCCCTCGCAGTGATAAAACCACTTTGTTTTGGTGGCAAACCGGATAGAAGCCTGCATACAAAAGAGGGTGGATCATCGAGTTGAAACGGATGGAGCGCTTCTTCTTTTTCTTCTGTATGGAAGTTTGAATGTAGACGGTTTTGAGACTATAGTGGAGGAGTTATCCACCTAACCTATCGGACACACGTGCATAACTGACACACTTAAACAGAGACCCTGAGTTCGGTAAAAAAAATTACCGTCTTAGATCGGTAATGCTAAAAATTACAGATGATTCGGTATTTTCTCGCATTATTGCTGAAAACTGTAAATGAAATTACCGAATTTCGGTAATTTTATTTTAATTTACCGAATACGGTAAATATTTTTACCGGGCGGTCTGTAAATTAGCTTCATCACTGACTTCGGTGAAATATTTTACTGAAGTTTCGGTAAACAAAGCGTTCCGTTACTGAGTTCGGTAACGGTCTAGATAAACGTCAAATCCACCATATTGTTATTTTCGATCGACATTAAAAGCGTTCGTGCTTGTGAAAAATAAAAAAGGTGAAATTATGGAGGCTGTTATGCAACACCAGGATGAGTGAATCGTAGATATTTTTCGTAAATAATTAATTTTCGTTATCTAAATAAATACCGATTACAGATGGCCGATGTTGTTGCTTGTTTTTTTTTCTGTCGGTCCAAGTTCCATTCCCGTTAACGACGATCTTCTAATGCTTCCTTGTTTTCAGTGTAGCGCCGAATCTTTCCGACAAAAACTTAATGAAGACTGCACATTGAATTTTGGATACCAAAATTAATTAAGTGGAATTAAATGGAAGATAACCCTCTTTTTTACTGTTTTATTTAAGCATTCCGCTAACAACCCAATTTCATTACCTCAATATTGAAGCGAATTAAATTTGAGTCGGTGAACTTTTTTAAAAATTACAGATCTTTCGGTAATTTTCATTTTCCATATCGACTCCAAAATTACAATTCTCCGGTAAACTCAATTACAGATCAAGCTTGTTTTTTCGGTAAACGTTACCGATCGTTCGGTAAATTTGACAGCTAGTTTTTCTGATTCAGTTTACAGATTTTTCGGTAATGTTCTCGATTACCGAACACATTACCGACCGTTCAGCTGTTGAGAATTCGGTAAATGAATTACCGAAGTCGGTAATTTTTTCTAAGTGTGGATGTTTAGTACACAGTACTCACAATGAAAAAATGATGTAAGTTCGGTGCATCGAGATCTTGTTTACGTTTTATCCTTTACGTTAAGTGTAAATTGTAGCGGCGCGTAAACGTGATTGCCTCTCACCCTAAAAGGCCTGCGTTCAATCCCAGTCGGCGCCACCGGGATTTTCTGAGGCATAATATCTCTGATCACGCCTTCCTTCGGGAGGAAAGTAACTAAAGCCGTTGGTCCCCGGTTCATGAGTTGATGGGTCGATAGGGTAGGGTCCAGGTGTGGGAGCTGCCTTCGTAGCATTGGTACTCAGTACGAAAAATAAGATCGACGGAATATAAATCAATAAAAAAAATGTAAATTGTATCCTGATGAATGTGGGCGTTCAACTAGAATCCCAGTATAAATAAAGAGAGTAAAATTAGTGATTTTCATTGATTGATTGATTGATTTCTTTATTATAGAGACTTTCAGCCGTTGGCTGGTTCGTCTCTGGTGATTTTCATTTAATTCCAATACCTTATTTGCCTTATCCTTTGCAAAAACGCTTATGTCATCTACAATGTGCGGACTATTTCTAGATAGAGCTGGAATTAGGGCCTAACAGCTTTTGTAAACAATGACTTCTTTCGATGATTTATAGAAATTCAAGGCGGGCCCACGCAAACCAACATAACCATTGGATAGGGGAATATTTCCACTATCTGATGGCAGTGTTGGCAAAATCAGAAATCAATTGATATTTTCCGCTCTCATGCGCTCGCAATACCACGCGTGGTATTGGAACAAAATATCATGCTTGATATTGATTTTACAAGCTCCTTTGATATTGCGAGACTATTCAAACCTGCAAAAATCAAGCTGAGAGCTGACTCGACCGACTCGACACAAAAATGATTCCATTGCACATCGTTTTCTAGAAAAAGAAAGCATAGTTTGCTATCTCTTTTTAATCTTCACCGATGGCAGACGCAAAGGGACTGCTGCTAGCCGTTATTGGCGTTGACGAGAGCTTTGTAACTCTTTACTCCTATGAAGAAATCTCATGTGTAACTGTCAGTCTATGTGTGAAACATGGCGGACTTTTTCTTATTCTCTCACTCCAACGCAAAACCCCATAAGGAACTGTCAAAATGTGTGTGAAGAAACGTCACTTCGGGACTAGTGTCAAGGCGAATGGAAGTTTCGGTTGCATTCGGGTGTAAAGCAAACATCATTAAATGCAATCTCCCCACAGTCTGGTGAGATTTGCAGTTGGTGAGTTTTGTTAGCTTGATATTCTGAGCTGCGATATCACAGCTTGCAAAATCAAACGCAGTTGTCTGCTTGTTGATTTTTGTCTACGAAAATCAAGCGTGATATTGGGCGTTGGTGAAATTTGATTTTTTGATATTTTCCCAACACTGTCTGATGGTGATATTGATTTGCTCGGGCGAGCCTTGAGTTTCTAGAAATCATCGAGAGAAGTCATTGTTTACAAAAGCTGTTACGCCCTAATTCCAGCTCTATCTAGATTTCATCTACAATGAGCTGACTGATCTCGAGGCTCTCTGCAACATCCAATTTCCATGGTGTAGATACGGTTCTTAAAATCGTGATGTCCTCCGTCGTCAGTTGATGGTCCTCTGGGAAGATGTGTTCTGCAACCTTTGATGATCTTTGAAATCAAATGTTAGGCCTTTTCCTCTCGCTTGTCTTATTAACCTCCGATATATATTTTTTTTAAATCTAGTTACTAAATTTCTCTTGGTTCGTCCTATATAAACTTTGTTACAATCATTACAGCTTATTTTACATACACCTGCTTTACCTAAAACATTAACTTGACCATTGAAGAGACACCAGAGTAAGTGAAATCATTGATATTATTGATGTTTTATGCTCGATAGAACTGAAATGGATGATTACGACGAAGTAGCACTCTACCTTACATGCTTTTGTAAGCAAAGAGATAAATCACTGATTTCTCGCAGATAAAGTTTAATCTCGTACAGAAACTAGGGTGAGCCTGTAGTTCTTGCCTCACAATTATAGAATGCAAAAATGGTACAGGCATGGAAAGCGCTCAATTAATAACTTTAGAAGTGCATCTAGAACAAGTTGAGATAACACAATAAGCTTATATGCGATAAGTGGTAAGCTTGAAATGCGAAGAATAATAATAATAATAATAATAATAATAATAATAATAATAATAATAATAATAATAATAATAATAATAATAATAATAATAATAATAATAATAATAATAATAATAATAATAATAATAATAATAATAATAATAATAATAATAATAATAATAATAATAATAATAATAATAATAATAATAATAATAATAATAATAATAATAATAATAATAATAATAATAATAATAATAATAATAATAATAATAATAATAATAAAAAGAAGACGACGAACCAGTAGTAGAGGAACTTAGACAATTTATTTATTAAAAAATAAATAAACGATTTGCATACCGCTTTTATACGTCAATCTATAGCAGTGGATTAACTTTTCCGCTCCATTTCCCGTACCTAAAAATCTCGCTTCCACTCACTACACGGTGTATTTATTTTAATATCTTAAAACAAATTGGCATCCTAATACCCTTACTATTGGAAAGAAGCGACTTTTCCCGTCATTTTGACCTTAATTTTTTTTCATGAAAACAGGGCATTATTACTTGCCGTTACCGTTATCGTTTGATTCGTTATTCGTTTGCCATTTTGTAATTTTGAGTTATGTTCGATTCCCTGCCACTGAACCTGTCGGTTTCTGCCTTTGAGCTTACGATTAATAATGTGTTAAGATAAAGTATGATTCATTTTTATGAGATAACAATAGGGTAGATGTACTAGCTATAGCTATACGTTCCTGTTATAGTGTGTTACAATTCTGGCCTAAGGAATTTCTTTACGATAGATGGGAAGTGTAACTTCATTTGTGACTTCTGAATGTTTGGCTCCCGTTTGACAGTTCACACTAGCACCCAATTAACCATTTGTCTGTACCTCTAACATGAAGCTTAGTTCATTGCAAAAATTCTTCAAATCGGGTGTTAAATAAAATTCTAAATATGTCTCAACTAAGTGGCAGGTATATCAAGAAGACTTTAGCATGCAAAATTTCTGAGAGAAAAAACCTTTTAAATGAATAATCAAGATTGCAAAAAATTGCCTGGGGTCATATTGACCTCAAGATACAGACAAAGGGTTAACAAACATATGTTAAATTATGGTTCAGCCTAGCATCGAAATAAACTTAATAAACAAATAAAATAAAATTGAAAATTAAGATAGTGCCATTTAGAGGACCACTAGGCCCAAAAACCTGCTCACTAACCCTGTAGGTGCACCACTATTCCTTGAAAACCTATCATATACCAAATGGTAGAGGAATCATTCCTCTACTTAATTCAGTTCTTAGTGTCCAAGATAAATCTTTTATTCGCAAGAAATCGGCGATGACAAGGGAATCAGGATTCTGTAAAGGAAGGTCTAAGGTGGCCTCAGATAGTCTAGTCCAGTTGTGCTAGGGTTGGCAATACCGGACGCTTATATCTAAAACCGGTTTTCCGGTATTGAAAAACCTAATATCGGTAAAGCCGGTAAAACCGGTATTATTAGGTACTATAAAAAAAAACTGCATGGTTATAATAAAATGTGTTTAATGGTAAATGATTCAGTTAGAAATGCGCTCATCAAAGCTAGGCTTGTTCCTTTAAGCAAAATTTAAGAATTCAAAGAGCATTAATCGTATTATTTTCCACACGAGAACGGATCTTACTGACGAAGTAAGTAGGACGTACAATACAAAGGGTATAGTAAATCATCTTCATATATTTGCCTTTCAAACCCTCAGCATCGTAGTAGGCAAACTCTTGTTTAATAACTTTTTTCAAACTGTTTGCCGA